TGCCACTACCTAGCTAGTGCCCATTGAAAAGAGTTCAACTCCCATCTGACCTGGGGTGAAGAGTAATTTTGCTGTCCTTAAACACAAAACGCTGTTCCGGGTTCTTCTAGTCATCCTAATACCCCACATACCTCTGGTGGCAACCGACTCGTGCAAGCTCAGGAAGGTGAGACAGTTGTGACTGGAGCTGCCGAAGGAGCAACGGGCCCTGCCTGGGAGAGGAGATGGACTCCAGTTCACAGAGATGAAGGGTCGGCAGTATTCAGGAGGGAAGGCTTGGCAAGATTAGAGTGAGAAGTGGAGAAGAGGAAGTGATTGATAGACTCTGGGGAAGAAAAAAAAAATGCCCTGATTAGACAGGTAAGAGAGTGAAGGAGGTATGAGGGAAGCGGCAGGGAGAGGGCTGGGGCGGGGGAGGGGGGGGGAAGAGGGGGCGGGGAGGAGCCGGTGAAAGCCAGAGACCCACAGTAGGCCAGTCCCACCTCTACTGGCCATGGGCTTGGGCCATTAACCTGGTGCTCTGCAGGGGAGGGTAGCAAGGTTGCAAAGTGTGTTAGGTGGGCACATAGCTGGAGAGAGAGGTCCGAGGAGGGAGCAGGAGGGAGCAAGAAGTAGAAAGAGGGATGAAGTTGGAGGTCTGGCATGGACTGGTTTGGGGCAAAAATGAGGCTGAGTTGCCACCCTCACTCTGTGGGACTGCCACCCTCACTCTGTGGGACTCCGAAGCTTTTGTGGCCACTATGCATGCCTCACCCCTCTCCATCTGGCTGGGCCTATCAATTCCACAACAGCCACAATAAGAATGCTTGATAAGAAATGTACTCATTATCTTGCCCATGTAATTGTAACCCCTCTGTACAGTATTTTCACAATAAAAAATAAATAAAAATTTAAAAAAATTAAAATGCCATGATTCATTTAGCTAGAAACTAGAGATGATAATTTTTACATCAATTATTTCTGTATGAAGAGGGGACAGACTCAAGATGAAGTTTTGACGTGTGACTCTTGTATTGTTTGAAACAGACTTCTAAGCTAGGAATGAAGGCATCAATAATTGAAACCACACTACATGATTCTCAGACTAGATTAAGTTTAACATAAGGCTAGATTGAATTTGATTTCAAATGAAAAATTAGTACATACTTATGCATACACATACATTACAGTTACAAATTTCTTTTCATGTTGAGTCTAAAATTTTATAATGTTAACTGTTTTACATATACATTTCTGTCACTAGAAATACAAAACCTTATTATAGTTAATGTTTTGAATTTAGTAGAAAAAAAAGAAAATGTGGTGTCAAGGCCTCCTATGCTATTCACTCTAAGTTTCTAAGTAAACAAACTCTGTTAGATTCTGCTGCTGCAGCTGATTGATTCTTGGGCCAGGAGTCAGGCTGGGGAAGTGGGTTGGGGCTTATGTGGGAGCTGCCAGCAGTGGGTCCAGCAGGCCCCAAAGCCCAGCTGAACCTGGGATAGGCAGAGGTGGAGTAATGCCCTCCTCAAGCTCCAGTACTGGGGTAGATTTATTGACTTAACCGGAATTCTGGAGACAGAAATCCAGATATGTGGTGCCTAGTCTCTGAAAAATGAAATGTGTGAATCTGCGTATTTTTCTTCTTCCACATCGTTGACAATAGACCCATCAGGCACACTACCAACATCTCTACAGCTCAGGCATTAATTAAATCTCTGTGACTCATGCCTGCAATGCTAGTTACTCAAGAATTTGAGATCTCAGTATCACAGTTCCAAGCAAGCCCCAGTGGGGAAAAAATATCCCATGAGAATTTTATTTCCAACTGATTAGCAAAAGGCCAGAAATGGAGCTATAGATTAGACTACTGATCTTGAGCAGCAAAGCTCAGCAACAGCACCCAAACCCTAAATTCATAGCACTAGAATGGATACACACACACACACACACACACACACACACTTTGTTTCATAGAGCTAGTGGAGTTTATTTAAGGGAATATGTCAAAGTCTTAACCATAACAAGGACAATAGGACAACCAGGTGAAAAGTGATAGAAGCAAAGGAAAGACCAGAAGAAAAGGAGAGGACAGCAGAAGATAAGAATGGACAAGAAAGAGACTAAAAACAAGGGGAGGGGAAGAAAAGAATCTTCAAGCAAAGGACTGGTGTTCAGAGTCAGGCCCTAGTACTGACAGGTTTAGAAGTCACCCAGTATGAAATTGTTCAGACTTATCCTAGGTCTAGGTAGAATTCTGATTATACTCTCCACACACATTTTAATAGAATTGCAGTAATCAGAAGAAACAGCATACTGTGAAATAAGCAGAGTCATCATATAAAAGAACCATATAATAAGTTAGTTTGTGAAAACAAGCATTTCTTGGACACAAATGAAAGTATAAGCTAAATGGCAGCCTAGAGACTAGTAGAATATGGCATTACTAATTTATCTTGGGAAGAGACACTGAGATAATACACTGCCTTATCTCAGTATGGAAATGAAACCATGCCAAGCTTCAACTCCTGTTGTTTGTAAATTAACTCACTAAATAATTTACATTTGCCTTTATAATTTAGATGAACAAAAAGGAAATGAAGGTCTTGACACAACTAGTACTGAAGGTTCAGTCACTAAGTCTAGAGTACAAGATTTCTTCTTTCAGACAAATAGGGAGAAAGATTGTTCCCAGACCAGAACTGAACTTTGTGGTCTACTACATTTAAAGTGGACCAGCAAAGAGTAGACACCACTAAGGAAATTACACAAAACTAGAACATACAGGTAAGTGAGCATGGCCACCTATATTGCCAGGAAATACAGATAGCTGTTGAGATCAAGAGTCAGCAAAGTATTTCAATGAGAGCCTGAAAGTCTCTATATCAGGGTAAATGTAGCCTGGCCCTGAAGACTCCCACCTAGAACTAACAGAGAGCATGTTACAGAATTTCCCAAAGGTCCTCACAGGAGACTGACCACCTGAGTCATTTGTTTCTAGCCCTTCTCCCACTACTCTCTCCAATCAGCCATACAGAGGCAAGCAAACACTAAGAGACAATGTCAAATGCCTCCAGGCAAAAAGAAGAGAGAGAGACAGAGTGGAAGAATAGAGAGAGACAAAGCAAAAGAAGAGATCTTTTTGGAAAGCAGAACATTGTCCTGAGTAAGGACTTTACAGTACAAAATCATTAAAACAACTCCAAAAATGCAGTGGTATGAATTATCAGATTAGCATTATAACTAAAGCTGTCCTGTGATGTGCGTTAGATTCTGTTGTTATTGTTGTTGTATATGTTATAAATAAATTAATGAAATCATCTCACTTTTGAATGGGCAGCCCACACTTATTCCATATCAAGCAAAGTCACAAAAAAATGAAAGAGGCCCAACGCTGCTAAAATTTGCATATGGACTTAAACAGTTTTCTTTTTTAAAAAATAGGAATTTCATCTGAATATTATGATAAATTTCAAACTGGATCTGCTGCAGGATAGCTTTAAAATACAATATTTAATGCTGTCAGATGACTGGAAGACCAAGTTTTACAGAAAACTTTAAATTATAGAAAAACTACCATGCTCCTATAAACACTTAGAAAAAATTCAATTAAAAGACTTACACCATCAAATAACTGCAACATCTGGAATAATGAACATGGCATTATGCATTCACATGGTATAGTCACTTGCATCCTAGATTTATGTGTGTGTCAAAACCAGTAACATTGTTTTGCACTTTCCCAATGAGGAAGGTAGGGAGAGGGGCTGAGGATGTGTTTATAAGAAGGGTTTTTTGTTTTTTTTTAATAACCAAGCCTATTGGTTTGGAGACTGTTTTCTCAAATCGAATTCAGATAAATTCTGCTTGCAATCCTAATTGCAGGAGAATTGGGTGAGCCATGCCCTGGAGGTCGTATGCATCCTGTCCTTATGGTCACTCCACTAGGCATTAGAAGTCCCTGTAGAAAGCCAAGATTCCTTGCAGACAAACCACTGTCAAACCGAATCAAGGAATAGACAAGCTGCCATATAGGTACCATTAAAGAGCTAGACTGAGCAGAGATAATTTTTTAATTATTTTTAATTCTATATTAACATTCCACACTACAAAATAACTGTGGATTTTAACTTTCTTCCCTTTCTTTGCATAAAGCTTAATGAAAAGTCTGCCTGACACTTCTGATCATTTAAATCTTACGTCTGGCTGATTGGTTCTCTTCTAGCAGATTTCTAATTGTATTTTGAATCTATAAACATGAATATAAAGTAAGCATAAAGTTTCAATCTTATGAGAAAAATGAACTTTCTTCCTCTCTTAAATTTATTTTAGGGTACAGATGAAAGATTTATAAGAAACTATGTACACAATCTGACTCCTCCTCCATACCCCACAATGCCTCAAATAAAAATTTTACAATGTATTTACAAGAATACAAAAAGTGAATGGAAATGTTCAGATTCAGAAAGTTTTACAATACTCAATATAACTGCATCTGAAGTGGGGCTGGAGCTGGTGGTTCCTCTTTGTATGAATTAACAAATTTCAAACAGCAATGACTACAGAAATCTTGTAAATGTCTGGACTTGCACTATTACATTTATAACAAATGCTACCATTCTCTTGGCAGCAGCCAGACTTTTGCTAAGTAAAGTCTTTGAAATGGTGAAGATAGGGAATTTTGCCATTGGCCATGAGACAAAAATTGGCATTGTCTTGTGTGGTTTTGTCTTCTTGTCCCCACAAACAGAAAAGGTTTGTACTACTTCCTCCGTGGATTATAATGTACAAAAACGTCCCAAAGAAACGCTGAAGTTTCATTTGCATGCAAGACTTGTGTGAGCCCCTGTTGTCGCCAAGAGTTTCAGAATTAGTGGCTGCACGTCTCCTGGTTTTTTCTAGTGCTTTTCATTTTGACAAGACAGTGGAGCCATTCGTACAAAAATCAAGGGCATGCCGGACAAGGGTAGCCTACCTCACCAGTCGCTGACTATGAGCAGGAGCCCTGCTTCCTAGTAGCACTAGATGTGCATCAGGGGTACTGTGCCATTCATGACAGCACCCGCGTCCTGGTAGTGCAGTGGCTGGGAGTTTAGCTGGCTCTGAGCCACAGCCAATGCGGCAGTCGTCGGGTCTCTACCCTCACCCACCGGCAAATATATGCTGATCATCTCACGCAGATCCCCGGGGCATGGTGCCCACGAGTGTGTTGGAACAGGCAGGTTGCCGCTAGGCTCCACTGTCATTAGTGAACCAAGTCCTTTTTGGGCGTCCAACGATGCGGCCTCTGCAGCTACCGCAACAGCCACGACCGAGTTGTGGTTATGGTGCACGTCTTCCGCAGCTACTGCAGTGGTTGTGATGTCTGGGGCACCGTAGGGAAGGCTGCTATAGCCGGGAAAAGGCGCCCTTATGTGGTCCTTTAGGTTGGAGAGAGGGTTGTATTGCTGCACGCCCAGGTCAAAACGAAGAACCCGCGGCGAGCTGGGGGCGTGCGAGGGCGGGTAGTGCGAGTGTGAGAACCAGTGAGCCAAGTGTGAGTGAGAGTGCAGGTGCGCACAGCCCGCGCCGCGGTGCTTCGCGTAGTCCAGCTGTGCCTCTTGCATCATCATCGCTTTGGCCTCGGCCACTGTTGCCATCGAGCTTGAGTTGGAGACATTGCCCCAGCAATTTAAGTGCGCGTTGCTGCCGCCTGTTACAAATCCTGCGTTCTCCAGACCCCGGTCCACAGCCGCCGCACCTACACCCAAGCCTGAGGCCACAGCCGACTCGTCGCTGCCCACGCTGCCCTTGCGAGCTGACAGCTCGGGGACTAAAAAGTACTTTTCCTTCTTGAGGAACATCTTGGTCTTAAGACGGGGCCGGTATTTGTAATCCGGATGCTCATTCATGTGCAGCGCAAGCAGCCGCTTTGCCTCCTCCACGAAAGGCTGCTTCTTGGCTTCAGACATGACCTTCCACTCGGCCCCCAGGAGCTTGCTGATCTCTGAGTTGTGCATCTTGGGGTTCGCTTGGGCCATCTTGCGCCTCTGCCCGCGCGACCACACCATGAAGGCATTCATGGGCCGCTTGACTCGGCTCTTGTTGGCCTTCGCTTCTGTGCCTTCACCCCAGCTGCGGCTGGCTTTGCCTCTGGCAGACCACAAGCGGTTGGTGATGGTCTGGGAGCCATTGGTAGAAAAGAGTGCAGATCCGTGTCCATTATCGTGGTGTAAATTGGGGCGGTTCATGGATTCACCAGCTCAGCACACAAAGGGCCTGAAGCATAGAAGGCCAGATGGAAAGAGGTGGACTGGGGCTCAAACCGAGAGCGATGAGGGGTTCCGAGTAAGGGGTGGAGGGTAGAGAGAGAAGAATGAATGGAGGCAAGATGAGAACAACAACAACAACAACAACAAAAAGAGGCAAAACACACCTCCCGTTCAGTTCCACAGGTGGAAAGTTTCTCTTAGCTCACAAACTGCTTGCCAAAGGGCAGACGGCCAGGGTCGCCGCTCGGCCAAGCAGTGCAAATTAGTATAATCCTGGGCCAAATTCCTCCACTTTATGGGCGGGGTGTGGCGCGTTGAACCCAATCTGAATCTCTGCTTGCTCTTTACCGGCAGCCGAAGAGGGCTGAGTTCTCCCTTCTGAGTGGCTCCTCAGGGATATCCAACTCAAAGGACCACAACTGCTACCAGGTCAGAGCACCGAGTGTGTTGTGCGGATCCTAGGTGCTGGGAGCCAAAGAGTGGCCCGGAGGACGTAATCTCAGTGCCTCAAGGTTGGGGCAGGGAAAGCCTAGGGAGGGAGAGGGCGCTAAAACGCCAGAGAATGGGGCCACAGTGCCCCGGACAAGCTGTCCGCTTGCCTGAACCTGGTAGCACTAGTGACTTGCGGGGGCCCAGCAACCATACACCAGGACCAGGAAGCCATTAAATAAGCTCACCTTAGTCAAATGGGAGCTGGCGGTGGTGGCGATTTGTGTGACGCACTGGAGGAATGACCCAGAAAGGGGAGTAGATAACATATGCTTTGGCGTCAGAGCCCGGAGGGGTAAAAGAAAGGAGGTGGTAAGAGCTAATAAGAAAGGGAAAAGGAGGCCCGGTAGAGGGTCACTGCCATACTGGTTCTTAAGCATACATGCCTATGCGGTGATGACAACCAACCCGAACTTGCCCCTTCGCTTCTCTCTGTCTGCATTCTCACCATGACTAAAGAATTTATTTAAAACCAAGAGACAGAAGTGGTCTTTGGTTGTTCAAGCCTATAATCCTAGCTACTCAGGAGGCTGAGGATGTGAGGATTGTGAATCAAAGCCATCCAGAGCAGAAAAATCCGCGGGACTTACCTCTAGTATTTTCTGAAATTGTAAAAGAAATATCTAGCTCATTGTGATTTCCACACCCCCCCCCATAAAAGAATATAAAATATGAAATTAGAAACAAAACAAAATTATTTAAGAAAAGGGCCAAAGTTGAAAGGCAGGATGTAGAAAAAGACTTCAGGCTAGTCATCAAAAGGACAAATTCCAAAGATTAAGTAAATGAGTGAGTTAAAAACTGGGTTACTAGAATTCAATAAATAATAGTAAAACTCAGAAAGAGCCAGAAAACCTGGAAGATAGTTAGAGTCACCTGAAAACTTCTTTTAGAAGACACATATTATGCAATGATTCACTTGTTTCTCTGGGAGTTGGGTGCTGGTTGTGTTTCCACATCCATCCTGTGACCAAGCACACTGGGAGATTGATGGTTGGTGAAACAGGCCAAGGCAAACACCACCAGAACCCAATATCTCCAGTGAAAATAGGCTCAAATGGTAAGGATAAGGATAATAGAAGTATGGTTAAGATGTTAACATTGAAAATGAATATGTGCTCTTTCTCTTATTTTCTATTTAAAAATCTGAGGTTTTAGCTGAGTGCTGAGGGCTCATGCCTATAATCCTAGGTAAACAGGAGGCTGAGATCTGAGGATATGGTTCAAAGCCAGCCAGGGCAGAGAAGTCTGTGAGACTCTTATCTCCAGTTAACCACCCCAAACCCAGAAGTAGAGTGTTGACTCAAAGTGGCATAGCTCTAGACTGGAGCAAAAATGCTCAGGAACTGTGCCCAGGACCCAAGTTCAAGCCTCATGACTGATAAACTAAATATAGAAATCTGAGGTTGTGAGTTTCTTCACTGTAAAGCATGTCCAAGGTGCAGGGACAGTGCTGTTCCCTTTTTCCTTTACTATGATTCTTATTGTAAGGTATTATAATTATTTTAGAGTTGCTACAGTAAGCAGTGTAGCAGCAGTAAACTGAACTCTTATATACTAAACTTTCAAGTCATCTAATGGTAAACTCCTCAAAAAGAGGTACTTTAAAAGGAACCCATTTCATATTAATATTTTGTGCTAATGATGCTGGATTTAAATTCCATTTTCAACTGCCCTAATTCAGCAATCAACTTTGTTAAATTTCTCAATTTGTTTGATACACCCCTACAAATACCAGTTAATTGTAAGTGAATAACAACGTAGCAAGATGCTCTAACTCCATTTTTCCTTTGATAATATAGGAAGCCATGGAAGTGCAGTGAAATCCATTGTGTAAGGGAAATCATCATGACTAAAATCAAGGAAATGGCTTACAAAGCAAAAACAATGTTATGCACTTAGCAATTGAAAGATTTATTTTGTAGTCTCTTCAGTTTATATTTATTTGTTTGTTTGTTAATTGTACTGCTTCTGGGGCTTGCACTCAGGGGATTGGTGCTCTCTCTGAGTCTGTTTTGCTCAAGGCTATTGCTTCTCTTCTGGCTTTTTGTGCTTTTTGAAGATAGGAGTCGCATGGACTTTCCTGCTTGGGTTGGTTTTGAATAGCAATCCTCCACCAATCTCAGCCTCTTGAGTAGCTAGGATTACCCAGTACCCAGTACCATTATCCAGCTCCATTTATATTTCAACTAAATAACCATAGACTATATTTTGTATGAATCAGGCTTGGCACATTATTTTCCATATCAATGAGCAATTTATTTTATAAACACACTGCACTCTTTTGTTGGAGTGTTTTATGCTTTGGGATAACTTTCATAGCTGAATTTGAAATGGTCTTTTTCCTTCTGCCATAGCCTTGACAATATGACTGCATTCTTGTTTTCCAAAGCATTAAGTAGAAGTTAATAGTTCTGCCACTGCAGAGATCATTCAGGGTACTCTCCTTAAAGCCCTTTTCAGTGATGTGATGCATCTCAAGATCAAGTTGGTACAGCCCTATGAGTACCCACCTACATAAATATTAAACAAAGTAGGTGTAACTTGTTGCCAAATGACACATGATTGACCTCTGCCAGGTAGGCAGTATCAGGGTATTGCCAGATCCCCTAATGCCTTCTATCCTGGCAAGAAGTTTGAGAAGCATTACATTAATTCCTGCCAGTGTTAACTCCTGAAAGCTTCCATTTCTTGTGACCTTTCTGTCTGCTTTCCTTTGAAAGAGACAGAGAGGGAGAGAGATGGTGGGAGGGAGGGAGGAAGGTTGGGAGGGGGAGGGAGGGAAAGAGAGAGAGAGAGAGAGAGAATCCAAAACCAGTTTGACAAACAGTTGTACTTGCTACTTCTACTCCTATCAGGTTGGCTGGGACCTCTTTCCTATTCAATATCTTCCTAAAAGCCAGGTTCTAGAGGCTTTGGAGACTGATTATACTATTTCCAATAATGTCAGAGAAAGTCCAGAACCAAGGCAGGGGATTAGATTTACTGTTGACTGATAAAATTTGCTCTCTTGACAACTCAGAAATTCTACTATGTCTGTTAGCCCAGAAGCCTCCTCCCTCATAGCTTAACATGCTCTTTCCCTAGGCAATACTAGGCCCATGTAGTAAAGGCAGCAAATGATTAGCCCCTACCCCATTTCCCTGAGAGATCACCCTTTGGGATAGCTATGACATATAAAGGCAGCAAGATCCCCCAAATCCTGGAGTTTATAAAAGGTCATCTGAGACCTTTTAGCACTTTTCACTTCCTCTCACCTGGTTAGAAGGGGTCTTGCTGGTCCCCTTACTGCAATAAACCTTTCCTTTGTTCTTCCTTCCTGTATGTCTGGGTGGTTTTCTGACAGAGTTTAATTTATTCTAACTTTCATGCATTGGTCAGCAGCCAGGTTTATCTTGGTGAATTTGCTCATCCATGCTTCCCAGGAACTTGTTTCTCAATTGCCTCTCTGATAGTTGCCCTCTCACCCTGACAGTTGTGACCCTAGGTGCCTAGACTTCTGCCAGACAGCCACTAAGAGCCTCTTTCCTGCCAGGGAGCACTCTCCACATCCAATTCACCAGCCTTCATTCATCTGCACAGGGTAAGTGGACTTGGGATTCCTATGGTGACATTCTTTTCCTTTATTCAAACACGTAGTGCCAACTTTTCTTTAATCCACACCCAAAAACTCAGTACCTGGCTGCTGTGAGTTTCTAGCTCAAGGTTTATGGTCTGAGGCACAGGCCAAGAACAGTCCCCAGCCACACTCTCCAGGAATTCCTAAATTGTTTTGACCTTAGATCAAGTCATCAGTGGGGCAATTCTCAGTCTAAGATTCCTGATGACTCTCGCTGGGGTGCATACTGGCAAATATGCTCTCTCTCTCTCTCCCTCACATAGCTCAGATGGCCTTTAGCACTGGCACCTCATTGATCTGTACAAATGAGCATGATCTAGGGACCCCATCCAAATGACCACTTAATGGCACCTTTAATCCAATAATCATTTGGAAGTTTTACAACTATTATGAAAACTTGGAAAATGGAGCACAGAGCTCATTTCTTCTCTCTCTCTCTCTCTCTCTCTTTCTCCCTCTCCTCTCTCTCTCCTTCTCTCTCTCCCTCTTTCTCTCTCTCTCTCCCTCCAGACTAAAAATTATCTCTCTCCAAATGAAGAATCATTTAAAGTCTCCCTCTCAAGGCCAAACTGCCTTCAAAGTCTCTCCCTCCCACCTTCCCGGCTGTTGCCATTGCCACAACCAACATTGCCTCTGATTCTCAAGCCCTCCCCCTTCCAAATTTTCCAGGTCCCAGATGGCACCTGTGAAGCTTCCTCCTCCCACTCCAGCTCCTGCTCCCACATCTCTTCAGCCACTCCTTCTATGGCTTCTCCCTTGGGAGGTCACTATCTCATCCATCCTACTTCACTCTCTCCCACCTTCTCAGCAATTCCTCCTACCATCAAGCTCTCAAGCCTTCCTCCCTCTCTCAAGGCTAACTCCCATGTGG